AATACTTTCGCTACTAAATAGAGAAAAGGACACCAAAAAAAGTAATTATTAAGTCAATTTGGCAACAAAACTATCTGTTGGGAATTTATGAATTAGAGACAGACAATATTTGCCGCTAACATCTGTCGCTAAAGAGATTTAGCGGCAGCAGTATTGACAGCACACAATTGTGTGCCACTATAGAGCTGTCGCGGCACATAAATCACTTATTGTGGCAAATAGACTTTGCCGTTAATTCTCATTTTTCTTGTAGTGGATGTCGATGATAGGAAAAGCACAACTGGTGTGATATTCTATCTAGGCTCTTCTCCAGTCAGTTGGTTTTCAAAAAAACAAAAGGTTGTGGCCTTATCTTCATGTGAAGCAGAATATGTTGTGGCTACATCAGCAGCATGTCAAGGGATTTGGCTAGGAAGATTGTTAACAGATCTCTTGGGGACAGGAACCATTGAGATAATATTGAAGATTGACAATCAGTCGGCAATTTCTTTAAGCAAGAACCCAGTATTTCATGATAGGAGCAAACACATTGATACTCGATATCACTTTATTCGTCAATGTGTTGAAGCAAGGAAAATCAACGTCAAGCACATCCGCACTGAAGAGCAACTTTCTGACATCCTAACTAAATCGTTGGGAAGAACAAGATTTCTGGAGATGAGAAGCAGAATTGGGGTCGAAGCTGTAACCATGTAAGCAATGTGTTTTAAGGGAGAGAATGTTGGGTTTAAACACATTGAGCGGCGTCGTTTTAATGTGTTGAGTAGATACGTGGTTAATAGATACGCCTCTTGGTGAAGAGACGTGTTGGTTACTTTTTAATTAAGTTGTATGTATATATGTGTGTAACTGTAAGTACGCTGGATTAATTATCAAGTTAAGTAATTTCAGACTATCATTCTTTTCCTACTTATGTAAGCAAGTTTTTCCTTAATCCCTTCTCAATCTACATTCTCCAGGGAGCTAAGAACTATGGCAATGGCCGGACTGTACCGCCGGGTCCTCCCTTCCCCTCCTGCGATTGATTTTGCTTCTTCGGAAGGATAGCAAATTTTTCTTGAAGCGGTTGATGGACTCCTAAAGGGAAAAAAGGGAAAGAAGAAGCAGTGACGCGAAAAAAAATCCCTAATCAACCACTGTCGCGGAAAGATGATGATGCGACGGCGGCAGATTAGCAATCTTATCAACCTCGCCGCCGTCTACCTCCCTACTCACCGCCAGGTTTTACTACAGATATGAGAGGCTGGAGATCCGTACCGATCTGCCTATTGTCCAACCAGAAGGTAAATGGAACTCAAGGTTCCTTTCCAGGCTCATACGGACAGGCGATTGGAAGGGAGATATGGAGGAAGTGGCTTAAGGAATTGAGTTGGCATAGTCCCCAGTATGGTCGTTGGAATCATTATTTGGCAATAAAAGTGGAGACAAGTAGGACAAGTAACAACGCTCAAGGAAGCTATGCATGGTGCTAGTTAATCAGAAAAACAGAACCCAATGGAAGAGGTAAGAACGGAAATCTCCATCGTGAATCATTAATAAATGATAAATTAGAATCTATTCCATTGAATTTATGTATGATATTGATAAACCTTGTGAATGCGAGAAAGTAAAAATCGAATTGATGCATGTATTTATCGACATTGAGATGTGGTGTCTCGATGATTAGAGTATGCATTGAATACATGCTGTGGAATAGAATGATTTTGTTTATACAACTTAAGAATATGTGGGAATAGAATGGATTAATTTTCATAGTGCGATATTGTAAGAAGTACTTGTGTCAGTACTAGATGAACCATTGGGGTTCTTCTGAAACATTAAAGTTTCAAGAATGAGAGCATCAAGCCGAACCAGATCCACACCAAATAGAATGGTACCCTTCGTGGTAACCATAAGATTGCCACTCAATCCTCTAAGAATAACGCTATGTTTCTCAATTAAATTTGAGAAAAATAGGTCATATGACACGAAAGTGTTAGAGCAAGTTTAACATTGTATTGTTTTAACTTGATTAAAGAAGAGGATTTGGCAATAACAATCCTTTAGGTGATGACAGAGGTTAGCCTTAATAGTAACTCTGAAGAATGGTTGCTGGATACTAGCGCCCCAAGGCATGTCTGTGATAGACGATCTAAGATGGATTCTTTTTTGGGACGTGTGTGTCCTTGTAAAGAATTAGAATATCTAAAGTCACATTCCCATATTATTTTCGAACGCTTGAGAAATTTTGTATCCAAGCAAAATGACCCATAAAATATGTGGTTAGAGAATCAGAATCAATAGATCTGATTTATGTTGATATGGGTAAACTTGATGGAAAAGGCAATAAATAATTCATTGCTCTTTAGAGTGCTCTGATTAATTGTCTAACTAGTTATTCGAAATAGTATGAAATGCATAGTTGCATTATGATTGCACTGTTTATTCGATATGTGGCATGCATGTGGTAGCGTTAGAGAATCGGTGTCATGATAACTAGAAGAGCATTTGAGTGTGTAAGTTATTGTAAAACACATAAGCCTATGAAACGAAATACTCATTAGTTTGTGAAAACCAGTGATGCCAATAGATTCCATATATATTAAGAAATAGTGGGGGTGATGAATCTCAGTATGAAATCAGAAGAGACAAATGAACCATAAATCACGAAAAGATTTTGGTTATGAATTTGTTATTTACACCCTAAGAAAGAAAGATGCTACAAGTCTGCTAGAAGTTCGAACATCCATAAAGATGCAGAATTGTGGGAGAATCCATTATTAACAAAATGGAATTATTGGAGTCTAATAAGACTTAAAATCTTGTAGAGTTACCTCTTGGTTGAAAAGCCTCGGGTAATATATCGATAGAATCGAACAAGATTTGCCATCTTTGAGAATTATCTCTTGGCAATGAAGTCATGGGTAATAAATGGATTCTTAAAAGAAAAGTGAAACCTATTGGTTTAGTTTATGAGTATAAGGATCGCCTGGTAGCTAAGGCTCTAGGTGAAGAGGAAAATTGTAGATTTCTTTGATATCTATTCACCAAATCTAGAATAACATGTATGGTCTGATTGCTAGTGATGCATTAGATGGATGTTAAATTTGCATTTTGTGAATGGTGATTTAGATAAAGAAATCTACATTGGGACAACTTAAAGGTTGTTATTCCTGAACATGCTTTTAAAGTCTATGGTGAGACAAATCATGTTATGATTTGAAACAGACTTTAAAGATCATGGCATGGATGGATGGTTCTCTCTAATGGTTTTGAATGAAAGTGGCAAGTGCATTTGTTACTAACTTGAGAACGACACTTGCACTATAAAAGACATGTTTCTTTGTTGCAAAGACTCGTGGCACAAATAAATGTGAAAAACCATGTTGAGTGAGAACCTTGATGAGAATGATCCAAATGTTTCACTCAGAGATCCAAATGACTAGGATAATGAAAGAAATTTTTTATAGATCAATCTAACTGTTTGGTTAAGATCTATAAGAAATACAAGTTGCACACTTGCCTAAATGTTTGAAGATGCTAGTACAATTTTTAAAGGAGCACCAAAGACGGTGTAAGAAAGTAAGAACTACTAGCATCGACAGTCTGCGAGAGGCAGCTGACAAACATGAGACCCAACATAGTGGGGGTACTTGGCAGGTTTACTGATTGTCCTAGTATGAAGCATTGAAATGATATTGAAAGGGGTCATGAGACACCTTAAGAGAACAGTAGACCTTGATATAAGTTATAAATGGTTTATTGCGGTATTGGTAGGTATATTGATGCGGATGAGAATACCCTATAGAGGACTCCAAGGCATCCGGTGGGCATGTTTTAACATCGCTGGAAGAGTTGTGTCTTGAAAGTCTAAGAAGTAAACGATCCTGGCTCAATCAACTAAAGAATCAGAAATTATGAAACTAGCAATGGCTAGTAAAGAGGAAAGTTGATTGAGAGGGTCATTACTAGAGATTCCCTTATGGGAAAGACCGACCCCTCCGGTAGTTGATTCATTGTAATAACACCGCAACTATTGCAAAAGAAGGGAACCGGTTCTAGAACGAAAAGAGACGAAAAATTCGTCAAGCACAGTACTGTAAGAGAACTCCTAACGATAGGAGCCATGAGGGTGGATCATGTAAGATCCTAACAGAATCTAGCTGATCCTTTGACGAAAGGATTACCTAGAGAGAAAAGTCCAAAATACCTCGAAAGGTATGAGACTTATGCCTACCGAACCATGGATTACAAGTGATGGTAACCCGACCTGATAGACTGGAGATCCCAAGAAACGGGTTCAATGGGTAATAACAAGTCATGAGTAATATTGAGAAAAGTTCATGCATAGTGAAGCATGAATCCCAAAGCCTTGGAGGTTGAGTTCAACTCTTAATGAGATCTATACTCTATGTGGAGTGAAGTACTTTACTTTGGGGGTACTTCTAATATACTCACCTATGTGAATGTGGGAGTGAGGCTGCTCTCTATAGAACTTTGGAGGCACAAAGTTGCTAGAGCATTCACTAAACCGGGATAACGTGCATGGCCATAAACGCACGGCCTATGAGAGAATATCACTCAATGAAAAGATCCGGTGTGCTCCATTGTCTGAGATAGGGTTCAAGACTACAAGTCACCCTTATGAAATCGGAAGTGTAACCACTATGCTAAGGTTCAAATCTTCATGATACCTTAGCTTATGCCCGATCTTATGGATCTGTTGATGCTTAGAGATAGTTTCAAAACTATTCAAGTGGGGGATTGTTGGGAATGAATAGTTTTGAAAGCTATATTGAATTAATTATCCCGTATTCTTTTTAGATACGAAAATAAGAATGATAATTAATAAAAAGAATATTACGGAGATAATTAGGATTAATTATCTTAATATAATATATTTTAATTATGGAAGTAATTATCTTCCTAATTAAAATGTGGCTTATTCCCAAAGAAAGAGGGAATATTCTAGGTTTTCTGCTCCTATAAATAGCAGTCCCCTAGACCCTCTAAACACAACTCAGAAGAGCAGAAACATGAGAGAGAGTGAATTCATAGAGCTCCGGTTTTCGCACAAAACCGATGAGCAATAAATAAGAGTGGATGTTTTATCCTGGAGGCGACCGGCTGATAGTCTCCTATGCGAATTATGAGGCAGTGCCGCGAACGTCTTAAAGAGAGCGACCTAGTCCGCGACTCAGCCAGATCGGTAACCCTAATTTTTCCTGTTCGATTTCTAACACTTCATCGCTATATATATCCAGTAGTGGCGGAGATACTTCCTGGTGATCTGCTTTGTGGACAATGCAGGCAATCCGTTGTCGAGCTGATGGAGTTGTTGAGACCGACAGAGGAGGATTCAATTGTGGAATCGGGGCAGCAGGGCGAGGAGAAGAAGAAGCGGAGGGAGCGGAAGACAGTTGTGGCGACTGCGGCGGGGGTTGGGCTTCCTCGAAAGGGAGTTGCGGTGGCTTGTTGAAAAACATCTATGATTTCTTTTATAAGTTCTATTGATTCTTTTCCATAGATTATCTTTCTTTCTTTCTCTCACTGTTATTCTTTTATTTACTTATTATTATACACTAAGAGCTTGGATAAGTGACCATCACCCTTTCTATGAATCATCGGGTACATGAAGATGGAGAGGGAAACAATTGGGTCATGAAATAAAAAAAAAATGAGTAACATTTTACAACAAACAATTGAAGGGTCGTGATTCGTGAAACTCCATGAGAATTGATTGTGTCCTGGAAAGGGTTGAAGGCAGCGATGCGATAGGGGAGATGGAAGGAAACGGTGGTGACTGGTGAGGGAGGGATTTCAGAAGTAATAAAACGCAGAAAGAATGGGTCGTTGCCGCTGAAAGGGGAAAAAATAAAACGCAGCGTCACACATTAAACAATAGTAAATGACTCTTTTTTTTGGTGTGAAACAGAGCGCTTAAAGGGCACTCCAACCTTTATTCATGAACTGCACGAGGGGTTTGAACCCCAATGACATCATAATACAACCAGTAGGCTAAAGTACTGTCCGGGTTATAAAAAAACATGTAAACCAATAGGCCAAATATGACCTATGGAAGCAAGATGATCTGCCACAGCATTGGCTTCTCTATAGACGTGATGTATCTTAACTTGCCAGTCTTTACTTAACCAGCTTCTGATTTCCGCAACCGCTGTGAAGTGCGGATGGTGGTGTGTTGCCTTCTCGATGATGCTCACAGCTGCTGCTGAGTCTGTTTGTAGGAGAACCTTCCTAGATCCAGTTTCCCAGGTGAGTCTTAGACCATGCACAATACCAGCCAGCTCTGCACGGGTAATGGAACCTCCCCCAAGATTCACCTCAAAGGCTTTGATGAAACGGCCGTCGCCTCCCCTCACAATGCCGCCTGCAGCCGTGCTGGAAGGAGAGTGACTAACAGATCCGTTCGTATTCAGGCACACCCAGTCAGGTGGTGGTGGCTGCCAGCTGATATATAGAATATGTTGGTGTCCCCCATCACCAACGATGGAACTCTCCTTCTCGAAGGCAGTAGTGATCTGCTGCCGTAGCTGAAGTGAATGGTACTGGATTTGTGCATAGGTCTGCAACTCCCCCTCAAAACATAAGCTATTCCGGTTCTTCCACAAAAGCCAGCAAGTTACCGAAAAAAGTGTAGCATCAATTTTGGAGCTCTACCAGTAATGTAGTAGTGGAGCCAGCAGTGCAGGTCCGGTTCAAAGAAATTATCGTCTGGCTCGTCCATTAACAGCTCCGCCCAGGTTGCTCTAGTGAACGGGCAGTCTCTAAGCACATGGGTGATGGTTTCAGGTTGTCCTCCGCAAATCTTGCAGCTCGGATTGCTAGTGAGGTGGCGACGATGCCTTTCCGCGTTTGTAAGAAGCCGCTGTCGAGCCGCCAACCACAAGAAAGTTCGTACCCCTTGCATTGAGGGTACTCTCCAAAGGGCACTCCAGATGGGGTGGTGAGAATGCTGCTGGCCCTCGTCATTAGTCAGGTCGTATGATGATCTGAAATTGAACTCGCCGTTCTTTGAGAATCTCCAACATCGAGAGTCATCTTCGCTTTCCTGCGGCACGAGATGCAGCTCCACCTGCAAAACAATAGTAAATGACTCTTATAAACTTCCAGAAATTGCTCCCGTGCCAGGGATTTCAAAAAGGAGAAAATCATATCCTTGTTTCTCCCTTATATATCTTGTAGATAGATAGGAGACTAAAGTCTATAGGCTAATTCTTAGTGCTAAGATGAGGTCCGTAAGGGGGTTCCTTCTCGTTGCTTGTTGGATTTGACAATGAGGGCTTTGAGTTTTAGAAACCTTTGGATTTATGATGGATTTGTTGCATTATGGATTTGGAAGAGTACATTGTTTGTTTTGTTGATCTTTTATCATGGATTTATGATGGACTTGACTCACATGATTGCCTTCCGTTATCAAATCCCAAATGAAATGTGAGATTTGCAATTCCGTGGGGTCCACGGATTTGGATCTAAAAATATGGTCCAAATCCGTGGACCCCACGAATTTGTGTCCCTTAAAAAACAATGACCTTTTGTCAATTCTATGATGCTTGGGATTTGGGTGCCAAATCCATCACCCAAATCCATCACTTAGTCATATGACTAAGACTAAGTGAATCTCAGCCCTTCCACTTCTTTAAAATTCAATGGCGACAATTAATATAATTTAATGAATGGCAAAATAGTAATTGCATGATTATTTTGATTTTTAATTATTAAATAATTTTATTCCTCCGACTCTTCCCTCCACCGTTCGTCCTGTCTCTTCTTTTCCCGCCGGACAGGAGACTTTCTCGTCACCGGCGAGAGACTTCACAATTCCCTGGGAACTTTGTCGTCACTTTTGTGGGAACTTTATCGTCGGGTGCAACGAGAGAGAGAGAGAGAGAGAGAGAGAGAGAGAGAGAGAGAGAGAGAGCTGCTTTTGCGTCGAGAATTTTCCTGTGCAGGCGGTGGAGATTTTCCGACGACGGGGATTTTTCGGTGGTAGCAGCAGTTTTGTGATATTTGTCAGACTATTTTGTAATGTTTGCAAGTTTGTTTTGTAATGTTGTATCGATTCTGTTTGTATAGTTTATCATTCTAGTTTGTAATGTTTATGTGACTATTTTGTTTATTGTAATTTGTAATGTTTGATTGACTAGTTTTTATACTTTTATGTTATGATTTGTATACTTTGTATTTTATTTCTAATACAAGTTTACCTATTTGTATTTTAAGAAGTGGTATTATGTATAGTTAGTATGCTTTGTACTGTTTGTCGGTTTATTTAGTAATGTTTGTAAGCTTTATTATTTTGTTATGTTTGTCGATTTCTTTTATAGGCTTTGTTCTTTTTGTCCACCATGTTTGTAATATTTTTTATTTAGAAAAAACAAACAGGTTGACTTTTTGACGTAACTCCTCTATATAGAGATGGAGCCTCCAAAGTCAACTCGGGTGTTCTTCTATTTTGTATGGTTTGTCGGTCTAGTTTGTCATTTTTGTCAACCATGGTTGTAATGTTTGTATGTCTAAAAAAACGGGTTGACTTTCGGACGGTGCCCCTCTATATAGGGATGGAGCCTCCAAAGTCAACCTAGTTGTTTCCCATTTTTATGGTTTGTATTGTTTGTCGGTCTACTTTGTATTGTTTGTATAGTTGTATGTTTGTAAATATGTTTGTATGTTTTGTGGTTCTAGTTTGTACTGTTTCTAAATCCGTTTTGTATACTTAGTAATTTTCATAATACCCAAACTACCCCTGTTAGTAATTAAAAAACACTTCCTTTTTTTATCTATTGGATTGTTGTGTCCAGATTTAAAGATTGGGAGGCGCTTAGTTAAGTGACTACACACCCCTAGTCACCTGATCTGCCCTCAATCCTTAGCCCATGAGAGTGGTGGCCATATTTAATTGGCAGCCGCAACTGTTCTTGTTGCTAAAACAAGCATTATTAGTTTGTCCTGGTTTCCTTGAAGAAAACAAGTCTCTTAGGGCAAGTGTGTGGTGCCAAAAACACATGGCTTCTCTCTCATTTGGCTTGGAACAACTCCTAGCATGGCTATTCATAAAAAAATCCTAGCATAGCTAGGAGGCGGCATTTGCTCGAGAAAAAGCGAGACGTGGTCCTAGAGTGAATCATTGAAGGTGCGAAGCATTGTTTTCGTTCTAAGGAACGTGGATGACTCCTTAGACTTGCTAGAGCATTCTGTATCATAATATGAGTTAGATCTTTGAGATCAAAGTAGGAAGATAAATTTTGGAGAGCCCTATATCTTATGCTGTAAATTCATCCAAAGATTGTAGTTGTTTTGATGGTTATTTTGTTGTCATGAGACCTTCATAAATACCCTTAGAAACATTCACTTGTCCTATAAGTATTAGTTGTGTGAATTTGAAGGGTAGCAGCCAAAGACTCTTAAGCATGAAGAGAGGGAGGGAGGTTGTTTGTTTGTGGAGCACTTCAAATGGGGAGAATGAAGGTTTTGGTAAAACTTGGGTTTTGTAAAACCATGTATATATGAAGGTTTTGGGTTCATTATGGACTTGTAAAATACCATTGTTTATTTCATTGATTTCGTGATGGATTTGTTTAATTAGATTTGTGTGCAACAAGTGAAAACGACCTACATTACTCTCATTGATATGAGATGAGAAAGATAAAAAGGAGGGGTAGTTTGGTCAAAATTAAACTTTAAAGTCCATGATCAAGTCCCACCTTAAGAGGTAAAATTTTCAAGTCCGTGGGACCCACGGATTTGGACCCTTAAAGTCCATGTGACCCACGGATTTGTTGCCATCAAATTACATGAAGCAAACAATAGACTTTGGACAAAGTCCATGATAGATCCAAATCCATCATCAAATCCATCACCAAATCCATCAAGCATACAAGTCTTATGTTCTAGCAACTAGGGGAGTTGGATATCTATGGTCCCCTAGATTGTGAATTCATAAAGCAAAGGCCCCTTCTTAAGTAATCCGGGAAAAACCCTAACATACGAAGAGGTTAAGAGGTAAGGGTTTGAGATTAAGAGATGATTTTACTTGATTTGGCTTGAATGAGTTTTTCACAATCTTTGCTCAAAACAATTAGGAATGATGGATATCGATCTTCCAAGGAATTTTGATTTGGAATGAAAAGCAAAGAAGAAAAGAAAATCCATTGCATGATGACTTGGTTGAGATCCATTAAATTAACACAAACAACTAAAATTCAGTCTAAATGAAGTTCAAATTGTTTATACATGATGTGATCATGTGTTTGATGACACTTGATGGATGATCATCACTCTATTTTAGTTAGAATATGATGCATAGTGCATATTTTTCCTCTTCAATAGGGTTTGGTGCGATAATTGTACTCAATCATAATACTAAGCGTTACACTTAGTGCCATGATTTGGTTCAATATGTAATTTTCTTTTCCTTTTCCAATAAGTGTTGACCACAAAGTTGTCCTCGAGATGTGGTCGAAATAGGTCACATTTTTCGTCCAACTCAGGTCGACGCTCCCGCTTTAGAGTGCATAAACGAGAATTAGAGGAAGTTCGTACAAAATTCACAAATTTTTGTTGACCAGAGCGCAAATTTTCTTAAGAAATTCGTGAACTTAACTCATACGTACAAACAGAGGAGAAGAGGAAGTGTTGATGGTGATGACAATCGATTTGTTGAAGGAGAAGGAGTCACTGGCTCTTTAATGGAGGAAGCTGAAAGATGCCCAAGTCTCTCCATCTTGAAGAGAATCAAGTAATTGGGACATATCTTGAACTTTGAGGAGATTGACTTATTGTCGGCACAAGAAATAGTAGTCTGGATTAAGGATTTCAAACGCTGCATGT